AAGGACGTTATCTGCCCGTCTGAGGCCGCAGCCTTCATCAAAATATAAGATTGAATATTGATCAGAAAAAGGATTACATCTGCAGTACTCTGAAATACCTGAAGGTCGCTCTGAGTACTGCAGACACGCACGTATGAAAACCCTGTGTTGAATATTTCAGCGCGTAGAAAAAAACATTGACGATGTTTTTATCTTCTAGATGATTCTAGAGTGACTGAAAAGTAAACAGAGAGAAAGAAATGAACCTTGGATTTTTAATCAAAGAGCGCTGAGATTTTTATTTAATTTCTTTTTTTTTTTTGTATCCATCATTGGAGTTCTGACATCATTCTGGCTGCTTTTTTAACCACTCTTCTTGGCAGAGATGGTGCAGTTCATTTAAAATGGTGAGATTTTATTTTGGAACAGACCTTTTCTTTGAAGCTCAGTGATAACCAATCATATCCATCCATCCAACAGCTTCTAATAAAATATTTAGATGAATGTATAGTGTAGGGTCAAAAAACCAAAACCAATTTGCTAAGATTTTTTTTCTTTTAAGATTCAATAACTTTCTCCATTATAATCAAACACAGCTGAACTCCCGAGAGTTTTGTCTTAACATGTTTTAGTTATTAAACTCAAACAACCTTTTTAAAACTATATTAAATTATAAATGGTGACACATAGTGACCATAAGAGAAATAGAATTACACATTTTATTTTATTTTTAAGCGTCCATGTTTCATCTTGTTTAACGATTCTGCCTTGAATAAAGAAATATTAAACAATAATTAAAAGTAGTTGTGAACTTCTAGAAGTTAAACTGAAGAAGCTGCAGACTGGAATAAACTCACGTGTCTGTTAACTGAAGTTTAACTGACAGAAAGATGGATCATTTCATTCGTCAGAGAAAGAAAAGTGTAAAACCATAATAAACACAACAGAAGGATCGAGGCTACAGGCTGGTCTAAAACAATCACCATTATTTATTTACAATATATTAAACTGTAATGCAAAATTTATACCAAGTGGTCAATTTGTTCAATAATGAAAATAAACATGAAGTATTTTCCAAAGCTAGCATGAATCATACACATACTTATATATAAATACTGTGTGCAGTCCTTCAGAGTGAGTCTGTGTGTGTTCCCGTTGACGTCAGACTCTCCTCAGACCAGGATCAAATCAAAAAAAGGAATAATTCACACTCCTGTCGACTGCATAGAGAATTAAATCCAAAACCAAAAATTTCTCCCACAAAGAACATCTTTGTTTTTTTGTTTTTTTGTTTTTAACTTCTCCTCCTGCCACAGACTCCACATGAAGTTCCTCAGAACTTTAATGACCATCAGTTACATTTCTACTCAGGCGACCAAAGATTATGATGCAACTCTGGAGCAACCGTGAAAACACAGACGTCTGCTCCGGCAGGTTCCCGGGCATTTCAAGAAAACCTGACAACGAACAGACCCACGGGGGATTTCACAGTATTGTTTCAACAGGGGGCTGCAGTGAGTCCAGTCCAAGTCACCAAGACACCCAGGACCAGATGAGGCTTTCAGGGACACGACTGGTGACATTCTACATTTTCATTAAGGTTAAATCCCATGAAACGACACTCAGCCACAGTGAGAGTTGGACATTTTAATTGGCAGCTGTCATGTGATCTTGACCTGTGATGTCCCACTCTGACATTTAGATTGTTACTGTGTTTAAATTACCATCAAACAAAGAGGTTTAAACTGTTCATAATAACTGACCTAAAAACTGAACATTTACTATGGACTAGCTTGTTTCTAAATAACTGATCACAAAAAGAGAGAATGAGAAAAATAAATTCTACAATCCTTCACTGCTGCAGAGAGCAGGAAGTTTAGTTCTATATAAATATAATTATATTAAATAAAAAGGCCATAAATCTAGTAATAAAAGGGCACTTGAATTTTGAAAAGGACTTACTTACAGTAAGGGAGTTACTGTGGACCGGTAATACCACAGCAATTAAAATGAATTAAATTTTAAACTTTCATCTGTTAGTATCAGAGTCTGAATGACCTTTGACCTGTTGTTTTTCTGAAACATTGACAGATTATCTTTGAATGGAAACAGTAAAGAGATATGACTGGATTCTTTTTGAATGAAGTAAATTAGTAAAACCAAATGCCTACAGGACCAGCACCGGTCCCTGGACCGGGGGTTGGGCACCCCTGGTTTATATGATGAATATTAAAACATCCACTGAGATGTAATGATGAGAGTGTGGCTGATATATGGTCCTGGTTGTAGTTAATGAAAATCTGTTATATTGGTTGATGATTTATGCATCCACTTCCAGATGATTCTGTTGGACAAATTCAGAAGGTTTACTCTAATCACCATCTCTCATCAAATCCAGGTCATCTTTACAACTCTCACCTCACACACTGAGACTTTCTAACTGGAAATGACATGAACATAAAATACTGTGTTATTTATACTTATTTTTTTTATTATTAAAAAAAATTAACAAAACATCTAGCCAACTGTTTAGTACTTTGGAGAAATCAAATCCCTAATAATAAGACACCTTAAATGAAGGAGGAGAATGAGATGAAGTCATAAAAGTGCATCGTAGAACCTGACCAATCACATCACCCGATTCTGCTTCACTGTATTTCAGGTATTTCAAACAGTGGAGAGATTTAGTTATTCAGGAGGAATCAGAGGTTAAAGATTAACCTAAAAACCAGATTTCTGTTGAAAACTCACGATGGCGATGTCTCAGCATGGGATTTACTCCAAAACAATAAAAATACAGAATAACACCAGCTCTGTTGGATTCAGTTCTCTCACCGGCTTCTTCTCTGACAAGCAAAACGCCCGACTGTTGCCCAAGGTTAAATTAATTCCCTTTGGAAAGGTAAAGCACTTCAAACTAAAAAAAAAAAAAAAAAACAGACGGCGTGTGAGCGACAAGAACCAGGACACGCCGGCGTCTTCTCACTAATTTCTCCAGGTGTGTGGCATCCAATCAAGTCACCTGACGGAGGAGAGAGAGCGCTAAAACTCATAGAAGTTCATTTGCTCTGAGGCAATTCTCTTAAAAGGAAACCTGTCAAACATCAATAACAAAACTGTTCAAAGTGAGGGGAGGAAAGCGACGCAGCCTTGAAGGAAGAGCAGCAGTTAGTGATGCAATCGTATTCTCCAGTGAAGAAAAGGGTAATTTGACGGCAAAAAGGCAGAAAACTTTTCAGGCACACAAAAAAAAAAAAAATAATAAAAGAAAGCAATGATAATGACAGCATCTTCATGAAAGTGCAGCATTACAGGATGCTCCACAGCTGCAGAGAGAGCAGCTGTGGAGCAGCTCATCTGAGTCGAATGGCAACAGAGAAGAAGAAGAAGAGAAAAAAAATCTGATTTTCTTTTCTTGGGAATCAGTATCAATTAAAAAAAATAACAATGAAAGAAGAGTGTGCACACATGGACTTTTTTTGGCTTAACATTGTTCTGTGGCAATAATATATTATAAGGATTTACTACAAGTAAAGAAAAAAAAAGAAAAGTGACAAAAAAAAAAAAAGGTTTGTTTTTATTGCAGCTTCAAGTTCTTTGGCTCAGTACAACCACGACTGGAGATTAACAGGATGGCTGCTTAAACCAAGCGAGTGTGGCTTGCATGCGGCCCACGGTGATGAGTGCTCTGTGTGTGTGTGTGTGTGTAGGGAGCCTCGAGTGATGAATGAGGAGTCAAAATGCCACCGCGGTTCGTCCGACTGTGTTCAAATCCTGCAAGGGTTTGCCTCATCTGAACAAGCGTTAACAGCATCTGCAGCGGCGTGTCGCCTGACAGCGTTTGTAACAGTGTTGTGAGTGTTGAGTTAATGCGGTAGTGACCAGAATGACCACAACTGTGGTCAGCAGTGCATGCAAGCAACGACGGCCCAGTGACGGTGCGTTGTCGGCGGAGACTAGGAGGCGCTCTCGTAAAGCCTCTCGTCACTGGTGTCCTCTTTTAATTGGCTGCTGTATTTGCTGTATCGGGAGTGGTAGGCGCCAGCTTCTTCTTCTTCATCCTCGTCGTCGGATCTACCGAAGTAGTAGTGTCTTCGACCAGTGGGACTGGAACAAGAAAAAGAACAAGGAGATGCTGATGTTATCAAAAAATTGAGCGGAAAGTAGAACAGTGGTAGAGATAGATCTGTGCTCGGGCGTGGTACAAAACCTGGCAAGGCATGCAGTGAATGGGAAGAGGGGGAAGAGGAAGTGGGTGACCGAGAGTTAAAACTAAAAACAGTAGAAACTGTAGAAATGTAAAACAAACAAACAAACAAACAAACAA